GCACTCTCACAAATGCAGCGAATCAAATCTTTATTAGCGTGTTGTATCATTGCTCGTTGTAACCTAGCAGGAGCGTGAATCAGCGCGTGTAATAAGGCAGTATTCTTTTCTCCGAGCGACTTGCGAACACAGCCGCTTCCAGAGCGACATGTCTTTGCCATTACACACGAAAGACTGGTACACTGCGCAATGAGCCTGATCCTTTTATATTGTAATCATTCCGTGGAATATAAACATAGTGATAGGGGCCGCTAGGGAATACATTGGTACGAAATCTGCAGTTTTCAGGAGTCGACCGTTTTAAATCAAGCAACAAATATCCATGAGCCTTCGATATGGCGTCAAAATAGGCCTCCTGTAGAAATTTTGGGTCCTTTGGGTATATCTGACGATCCAAATGTGCTATTTGTGCACGATCTCGAGGATTTTTGAATACGATAATATAATTTGTATTCAATGAAATATCTCGCTGTCCTTTTCCTTGGTGGAATAAATTTTGAGATATAAACATAACACTGAGATTTTTGTGATGACTGCCTTTTGTGAATAAGTCGACTATTGCACCATTCGATGATTCACGCATCAAGTCGTCCACAACAACCAATTTTGGTTTATTATCATCAAAATCTCCGGATCTTGGTAAACCCTATCGAAATTCGACAAAATTTTTGTCATAAAAATTACTTTTTCAATCGGTGTATCACACATTTCTTTAATTTTTTTAAAAAATCTTTTAACAAAAAATGTTTTCCCACAACCTGTGGGTCCACAAATCATGGCAGAGAAGGGATGTTTCCACCTTGTATCCATGGTGCCGTCTGATTAAGGATAGTAAAAAACATCATTTTATACACTCATATAAGATATTCAAAAAGTAGTATGCATTTCAAAACGGCAGGGGCGTGTCATAAGGTCCGAGCGTTTAACCTGCTAAGGGAGGTCATTACCTCATTGGTCAAGGACAATACGCGTAGGCGTGTACAGGTAAAATACTGGAGATATACACTTCCCCCCCCCCTATGGCCAATAGTAGTACACTGACTTTTCCAAATATAGGCCGATTTTTTTCTCACTTAGCCACAGTTTCCTAAAAGTTTTTCAGAATGACGGTCCCAAACGATTTACCAGGGCTTGGTGGTGCTTCTACAGGAAATACCCCACCTCTGGAGTACAATTTCGATTGGATCGTTAATTTTAATCTTGACTTATTGAGTGATTTTGAAATTCAAGATAATTTTGACGTGGATTTATTCGAGAGTTCTAACCCCGAGTTCTTTGATATTCAATATGGTGGTGATGTTCAATATGGTGGTAAAAATGTAATCAATGATCCCGAGGTGCTCAAAGCCATTGAAGACTTCAATCTAGATTTACTAGATCAACACAATGGTGAGTATTAGATTTTATGTTAATAATAATAATGAATATTTTTTTCTAAAAAATATTCTTACCATTGAAAATAAATTCAATTTCAGATGCTCAATTTGACCGAAATGAAGAGGTAGAAGGCCCACCGTCATCTCTGAGAACAATACGAAGGTCACGCCAGAGGAGGCTCCCTCGTTTCAAACTCGACACACATGTGATGGAGTTTAGAATTAACCCTGTGCCTGAAGGTCACAATCCGACCGAGTGGGTGGAAGAAGCTTTTCGAGATGTCTACAATAAGATGATAGAAGCCCGTGGCCGCGGAATGAATCGAATGTCCGTCACATTCAATTGTGCAAATATGCAAAGAGACAACGCATGGATAAGCTCACGTGCGATTAATGGATACGAGTTTCAAGATTTGTGGAATCTTGTGAGCTCTGTTGCACAGAGCGCCAATGGTTTCGACTGTGCGGACACATTTTGGATAAAACTCCATGTGGCTGAAGCCCTGCAGGTCAAGGAGATTTTCTTAAAAACGGAATGAAAAGAGATTGGAGTAAAAAATGTGTTCTTCAAATTTCAAATGAAGATGGCTTGTGTTTAGCCCGATCACTTGTTGTGGCCAGAGTACACGCCAAGAAATTGAAGGCCAGTGCTTACAAGGGCGAAATACACGAGATTTGGCAGTTAATTCGACAATCCAAGGATAAAATGCAATGTAAGGAGGCCAAACGTCTGACCCGAGCGGCTGGAGTCATTGTTCCTGACGACGGTTGGGGTTTAGAGGAAATTGCCCGATATCAACGATACTTAGCGCAAGAAGAATGTATCATCAAGGTCTATTCTCTCAAAAGGAATGGAAAAGATCATCCTATACTCTACGATGGTGCACCTGAACTGACGAGCAGAAATATACCTGCCCAATATACCCTGCCCATTATGTATTATCCGGAAGGCAGACACTACGAGCCGATTCAAAATTTACCTTCTTTTTTGGCACTGCATATTGTTCTGAACATTGCAATAAGCCCTACAGTTCTCGAGGACATGTTGCTGATAAAATATGTGACAGGTGTTTGAAACATCCACCTTATGACCCTACAATCGATAAAATAATGTGTAACGAATGTGATCGAGAATTCCACGGACAATTGTTCTTCGAACAACATAAAAAAGCAGGATCTTTTAGCGGAAACAACCCAACCGTATGTGCGGGCATAAAATTGTGTGAAAAATGCAATGTGAAAATTGATCATCGGAAAACTCAAAAACAATTGTGTAATAAATATTATTGCACCGTGTGCCAGAAGGACGAAGATATTTCTCATTTATGCTACATGCCTACATTGAAAAGTAAGAAAAAATTAACAGTGAAACGCGTGGCATTTGTTTTTTATGACTTTGAGACGAGACAAGATGAGTTGATGCAAGGAACTGATGCTGTCAACATATACGTACGAACGCTTTGCGTAGCCCAAACTGTGTGCGACTGCTGTGCAGACATGAACGATGACGATATTGCCAAGATTAAGGAAAATCTTCAAAGCCCGTGCAGTATGTGTAAACCTCGAGAAAATGGTTTTGGTGGCGAGGACCCTGTGCGAGAATTTGTCAATTACATCACATCGATGAGTATGGCGTACAAAAAAGTAGTTTGTATTGCTCACAACGCCAAAGGTTATGACTCGCAATTTATTTTGAGGGATGTCTTGCGTAGAATTAACAGCGAGATTAAAGCAATTATTAACGACACAAACATTATCTTAATGGATTTTGGGGATAATAAATTTATAGATAGTTTAAATTATTTCCACATGGCTCTAGCCAGTTTGCCAAAGGCTTTTGGATTGGGAGATATTGCGAAAGGTTATTTTCCACATTTTTTCAATACAAAAGATAATCGGGGCTATGTAGGGGCTATAGCTGATGATAAATATTACGGCGCGGACACGATGAATGTACAAGATCGAGAAAAATTCGTAGCTTGGTATAATGAACGAGTAGTAGAAAATTATGAGTTTAATTTTCGTGAAGAAATTCTCCATTATTGTAGACTTGATGTTACAATTTTCAGACGAGCGTGTTGAGTTTCGCAAATTAATTATGAATGCTGGGAATGTTTGCCTTTTTACAGAGTGTGTAACGATTGCGTCGACTTGTATGCGCATTTTCCAAACAAATTTCTTGAAAGAAACACAGTTGGGTATTATACCTGAGGGAGGATATCGTTTAGGAGAAATACAGTCAAAAGTAGCAATTGAATGGTTCTTTTGGCGTGAACATTGCGAGAATCATCGAATAATACACGCCGGGCGTACTCGAGAACACAGTACGGAATCAGGGCATCGGCTAGACGGTTAGTGGGAAGATGTTGAAAATAATAAAAAATATGCATGTCAGTTTCACGGGTGTTATTGGCATGGTTGTCCACGGCGTTTCAAGTTTAATAGAGATAAAGAGTTGAGCCATAAGGATACATTAGAGAGCCGATATGAGAGAACAGGAGCAATTCCTGGAAACATTTAAACGAAGCTGCGGAACTGTCTGCACTGGAAGGCCAACGTTGTTATTGCGGCTTATACAACAGCTCACGCACGTCTTAAGTTATATTCTTATTTAGAAAAACGGCAAAAACGCGTTTTGTATTATGATACACACTCGGTTATTTACGTGAGCGACGGAAGTAACGAGTTACTACTGGGGAATTTTCTAGGGGATTTGACCGATGAAGTAGAGGGTTACGGAGAAGGGAGTTTCATTACGTCTTTTGTCTCAGGCGGTCCTAAATTTTATACTAATCGTGTAAAGAAACCTGATGGAACCATCGCAGAAGTTAGTAAAATAAAAGGGGGTAGGCTTAATTACGAGACGCGTAAACATATTCGATTTGTGTCCTCGTTGTCGATGGGGTAGAGCCTTACCAGTTCAACTACAAGGGTATACGACAGACAATGTACCATGACGTCATCACGAAACCCAAGATCAAGATTATCCGCGCGACGGGCACAAAACAAAGGCTTGATAATGGCGCTGCAACCCTCCCCTACGGACATAAGACAAAACGACGCGCGCTTGAACCCGACGAATGAGAACTATTTTAGGTTTTTAAGGTAGCGATTAGGGATTAGATGTAAGACTTAGTATTAAGAATTAGACATAAGATTTAGTTTTAGAATTTATGCTAGATATAAGCTAGATTAAGTTTTTTAGATTTTATTTAAGTTGAGATTTTTTTTTGTAATTTTTCGTAAAAAACTAATAAACATTTTTTTTTAATTCAAACTAGATATAAGTTTTTAAATGTAAGGTTTTTGATGTAATTTTTTTTAAAGAATAAATTTTTTAATAAAAAAAACAAACGTGGACAGTTGTTCTGTTAGTCGCTTAAATTTAAAGGGAAGTAAATTTTTGGAGGTATTTCATTTTTGAAACGAAGAAGAGGAATATATAATGTTTTTTTTTTAATTCAAAAACCCTAATTCAAAAAATACATTTTTTTTAAATCTAAAACTTAAACCTAAAACTTGAAACTAAAACTTAAAACTAAAAATACATTAAAAAAAAAGAAAATACATTATATTATTATCAGTGTTATTGTTGTTGTGGTCCCCTCGCGGCGGCTGTGTGCCTCACTCCCACTCCTCAAGGTCCCAGCTGTCCTCGCTCTGGTCTGGACGGGGCGGGGCGTCCCCGAAGAGGAGGTGTAGGTCCCACAGATCCTCCACGTCATATAGAGCGAGGGCCTGCTCATCCTCGATCTCCCACTTCCGGGCCTCACGCCTTAGAGCCCGGGTCCACTGAGCTCTGGGGGTGAGTGGCCCAAGTCCGCCCTCCCACCGGTCGCCTCTCTGAAACAAAAAAAAAAAACGTCAATTAATCAATTAAGATGATGACAAATGAGAAAAGATAGTAGTTTGGGAATGTGTGTGTGTGTGTATGTGTGTGTGTGTGTGAGAGAGAGAGAGAGAGAGAGAGAGAGAGAGAGAGAGAGAGAGAGAGAGAGAGAGAGAGAGAGAGAGAG